GTCGGAAGTTTTGTCACCTTTGATTATATTATTACACAATCGCTCGTTCTAAAAAGTACTCGAAATAACAATAGCGTTGCAAGCTTTTGAATATTACTATCAATCAAATTTTAAGGGATTAGAATAGCCACTCACTTGGTTTATCCAATTCGTTGGGAGAAGACCCATCGTCGATCGGCTTCAAATTAGAAAAAACACCAGGTAACACCAAAGAAACAACAACAGCAAATTCCAGCACACCCATTAAAACACTCATTACAACATATCGTGCATCGCGAACCGCACTTGAAACACACTTAATTGCAAGTACACAAAACAGATCCAGTGAAAGATAGAAAAAACACCAGCGTTCAAGTCATAGAAAAGGTCGACGAGATATAGACATATTTACGAAATCGACGAAATGACAGCCGGAAGTCCTACGCGGACTTCTAATCGACGATCGCGAAGATTCGAATCTGCCGGCTACTACGATCTTTATCCGCGGATCGCGGAGATTTCTACTTGGCGTTGCGGCGTGCGGCGAGAGCGGCGTATTAAGCAGAACATAGCGCGCGACTTACAGAGAAACACTGAACCGAACGCCGTCGCTCTCGCGCACCTTTCTGTATGCTCTATCCTGCGCTTGTATATTGCAGGTTCGCGAGACAGAATATCTTTCGCGTCCGGTCTTCCGTCAACCCTTTTATCGGCAGCTCTTTAGGATCCGGAGGACTCTCTCGTTTGTCAACTGATATACTTGACGATGCTCGACGTTTCGAAACGTTTCGAATTGGACACCAGCAACATATTCTACGACTTGGCTCTAGAAGTGTCAAAAGCTTGTCATATCGATTGAAAGAGTACAAATTCTATCATTGGTGCATCAAGTATAAAAAAGGAATACGTCTTCATTTATTTATTTATTAAGTGTTTAATAATATTAATATAAATGAGTTCTTTATTCTCAATAGGTATAATACCCAATTACAGAAAATAATGTTGAATAATAACTAAATAATTAAAATGAAAGAGATATATAACAAAGAGCTCAATCTAATCTAAAAAAACTAAAATAGTAACTAATAACTAAATGACTGAGAATTCTCGCTTAACTCTTGGTGAAACATAATTGAACATTAAATTAAATTAAACTCTTGGCTTAGTGTTTCACGATTTATTTAACAATATGAATAGTCAACATGTTTCAAAAATTGAGTCTTGAAAATGAGCTAACGCTTGAAACATGTTGACTATTCATATGTTAAATAAATCGTGAAACATTAAGCCAAGAGTTTAATTTAATTTGATAATAACTAAATAATTGCATTTAGTGAAATAATAAAAGGAACTCAATGTAAATCAATTCATTTTAGTCAATTCCCACTGTTCACATAACTCCTAATAATAGATATTATGAAGTCGAATTGAATGTCACAGTTATTGGCACATCTATTGAATGTAGACTGCATAAACGAAATGAGTGATTGTATAAGGGAGTTGGTCCTCGGAGTCTCTAGGTGGAAGAATTCTGTAGTACGAGAATTTTATTCAATATAAAATAAACTCGAGAATTATTGTGCAATAATTTGTACAGAAATTTTAGTGATAAAGTTTCTCTTCTTCTCTGCAATGAGATTAAACTAAATCGACTTAATAATTTGTTATGATTGACTCCTCTATGTCGATAAACTTCGTCCTCCCTTCAAACTAAGAATTTCAAGGACCTTCACTGAATAGCCTCAAAATGGCGTTGGTGACAAGTGTAAATGGTATGCCAGATCATGCTGCCACACTCCAACTTGCTACGGATTAGGGTATTAAATAGTTCTATGAATGTTGAGAAATTATTAAAATATTTGCCATTGCATATATCGAATCCATATATTTTCGAGGCGGATGAAATAAGTTGGGTGATGTATGGGACAAAGGAAAGCTTCTGGGAGTTAAAGAGACAACATTACACTTTGACACATTAATTTTATTTTATACGTTTCTGTTATATACACAACAGCTTGAGCCCATAACGCTGTGGAAAAAATACAATGAAATTTACAACTTAGAAAATTGAAACAAAAACTTATAAACAACGTATTAATAGTGTAACTCTCTTGCAAACTGAAAAGAAAGTTTACTCACGAAACTACCCCAAAATTTCAAACGTATATCGGAAAAACAGTGGAGGACTCGCCTGATATGAGTCAATGACATTACGAGGAGGTCAAAAATCACCACAAATTTCAGGAATTCCAGAAAGCGCCAGAACAATAGTACGAGCAGAAGTGGATGAAAAATTACCATCTTTCGATTAAATAATAACCTAACGAAGAAATTCATGAGGGAGAGGAGGATACAACAATGCCGGTCTCCGTGGCTTAGTGGGAAGAACACTCGACTATGGTGCGTTACGATTCGGGTTCGAGCCCCAGTGAAAGTATGGGTATATGTGTTTGTCCATGATTTGAGTTGTTTGATGATGATAATTGTTGGGTAAGGTACATTGATCATAATTAGCCCATTGGCCGTTCGGAATCGGCCTTAAAAAGTAGGCCCACTGAATTAAAAAACAGAAGGATACAACAATCGACAAAATACAACAAGGACAATTGAAATCGTCGTGTTTCAAGTGTTGGAACAATGAATTTATTAGTTATTAACTCATCACTTATACCTCGTTCTGGATAAACACCGTCAGAATAAAAACATAAATATTTCAATTAACTTCTCTTAATGGATTAAAAATTTCTTACATAAAACACGTATGCTGTATTCCAAGCGACACTACCTGTAAAGAAATATAGAATAGCTTCTTCTTGTCCAGAAAACTTTGAATATTACTGGAAACTGAAATTTATATTATCTCTCTACCCGGCGAACTTTGTACGCCCAGTTATTTTTCTCTGAATATTATTCAAAAAGCCGGAAAGACATGTTCTAGTATTTGTGCTACACTGTCTTGTTTTTAATATTCATCCCGTGTGGAACAGAGACTTACTCATTACTTCCTGTTATTTCAAATAAGTCAAATTATCAAAAAATTCTTATATTAACACGTTTGATGTATTGAAAGTGATTAACCTGTCCATTCTATAGTTGAAAGGCATTTTCCTAATTTCGTAGCAATTACTGGTCCCATATACCTCATCGTTAATTATATGAGATATTTGCTGGATGTAAGTCAAAAAATTTTCAGAATTTAATCCATTCCCGGAAACCAATAAATATAGTGACTCTGGTGACTATACCAATAGCGTCTATTTGAATTGACTCTTCGCGCAATATTTTGTCGCTTCATTGTTAATATTTTCTCATCAAAAACAATGAAACTTTGCCTTGCAATAATGACACACAACGTTCATTGGTCCAATAGCAACGATTTGCTGTGAACTGTAATCTATTTCAACGTTATAATTGAATGCAGGTCGATAGGAGATAAACGCAACGTTTTTTTTTACTCCGTTCAACTTCATTCCGAGCTTCGCGTTGCTCGTCAGATTGACATGCTCTTTTATGTCTTCGATAGTTTTTTGCAATGTTTTTTGGCATTGCAAGTTCTGCGACTTAAGTTTGTACATCGAGCATGTTGTAGCATTTTTTAAAACGAAATTTCAACTGTAAGTTAAAGAAAACTTTGTATTCTTCATCATAATAAAAAATATCACGTGCTATGTTAGAAACGTGTATGTTAGTCTATTCAAACTTACAAAAATTTTACATTCAATAGAAATTTTAATATTAGTCGTGATAGCTAAAAACTAACCGTGTGATAAGATAATCAGTTTTTTTACATCCCATTTTTGAGAATTGATAATTATTTCTTACGTATATTATTAATTGAGTATTCTTAAATTTTATAATTTTACAAGCAATATTTAGAATTTTTTCATTGACAATAAGAAACACAGCAAAAAAAATAGTGAAATATGTCCAGCCGTTCAGACGTGACAGCGTGACCAAGGGAAATAGGGATTCATTTTTATATTATATAAGTAAAATAGAAATAATATTATATTTTATTTTTGTTAAGTATCCTTAAATAAGTATTCTTGAATTTTCAAATTTTCTGCGCAATTTTGAAATTTTTTTCCTCCATAAAAACGTTTTCCTAACATTAACAAACCCAACAAAAAAATAGTGATTAGTTAGACAACACTGATATGAAATTTATTGAATAGCAGTAGAGTTCAAATTGACTCTAGGTACATTTTAGTTAGAAAACGTTTTAATGGAAAAAACAAAAGAGCTGTTTTTAGGATTTTCCCAGCAATTATTCGAATTTTTTTTGCCGTAAAAACCATCCTTGGACTTCAACGAACAATTGAAAAAAAGAATTGGTCCAGGCATTATTGAGTTATGTGCTTACCAACACATTTTGCGATGAATTTTTATATTATAGATATAATTTAACTACAATTCGACATTATAGAAATTGTTTCTGTGCAGTAAAAGTAGAGTCCTCTGGATGAAAGATCCGGATTCCAATCCCAGGTGGGAGCTGTTGTTTTCTTCATGTCTAGTGGTGAAATGATAATTATTGATGAATCATTGTTATCAAGTAGTAACTGTTAACAAAAATCACACATACTCCTTCCATGATTCAAAAAAAATTTCTGCTTCTCAAAGCTGGTGAAAGCCACTGCTATTCATTCTTTATTTCGATTTGGACTACTGAAAAGTATGATACTTCCATTTTTATAAATATTTTCGATTGTTCATACGAAAGCGATCAGTTGGTTATGATATATTAATACTTCTCTTCATGTCCAAAAGTTTTGGAGTGAAAATAAACTATGAAACTCTTTCAAGCAAGAACCTCCAAAGTAACAATTCAATTTTCTATAGCTCATTAGTAGCAAATAGAAACATCCTCTTCAAATTTTGGTATGTAATTCCTGATTAATCCTCATATGTTGCTTAGCAACTGTTCAACGCTGGTTCCGAACGACGAATGGCCTTGTAATTGATATCCATTATCCAATAATTATCATCATTAAAGTTCTTGAATCTTAGACGAACACATACATATTCACTGGGACTCGAACCCGAATTCTACCGCACCATAGTCGGATGTTCTCCCGACTGAACCACGAATATCGGCTCTATTCGATAGGTGTAACAATGTTTCATCAAGAGATCAACATTCAATCAACTTTAAACTGATCAGTTTATGTTATATTTAGTTTGAAACTGTTTGCTGAATTTTGAAATCGAATAACATTTGGTAAAGTAAACACAAAATAATATTATTCTGTGAAAATGAGGTTTTTCATTTATATATTGAGCCAAGTTTCACAAAGAGATCAGCCAATATTCCATAAACATTATATAGGCATATAGATATCGTAAAATTTATTTAATTTTCTACTGTTATATTTTTTACACAGGTCATTAATATGAAAATATTGAGTAGTGTATCATAATATAACATATCAGAACTCTAACAACCAAAAAAATTTAAATTTAAAAAAAAAGACAAAAATAAAAAGAGAAACAATTTTCAGTAAAAAATTTGTTGAAATATCATCACAAGAGTAGTAGCTCTTTCGCAATAAAAACTTTTCAGTATTCCTCTGACTTTTTCCTCTCATGAAAGAAAACATGCTCAAAAATTTGAACAACAGAAAAGCAGACCCTTCTGTGACTTCCCCAATCTGCGCTACTGCAATTCCCAGACTCCACGTCTTGTTTGTCATATATCTGAAAATCTGCATTTCATCTAACATTGTTACTATTTCTTAATTCATGACCATGGATGAGGCATTCGTGTATAAATATTAAAACAGAAGAAATTTGTCTATATTGTTATACGTTCCAAGACTTCGAGATCTGTGTTCCGTACATCGTCACCTCTAATAAATGATAACTCCGTAAAAAGCAGGGTAAATAACAGAACACGTTTACTGGCCCACCCGTATAATATGACGTGTGCATCTCACAGATCAAACGTGCAATATATAAATCACTTAAACGTCAACTTAATATGCTGCATGTGCACCGGAAAAAACAGTAGACAACCATTTAAAATGTTACACTTCGAAGAATATTTAACTAGAGTAAATAAATATCGGAAAATCTGAAAATCGTTGACCAGACTTAAATAACATCATAAAAGAAAAGGATAAATGTTTTAATTCGTATTTTGCACTTGTGTAAGATAAATATAGACCGGCAGGATTTGTTTATATCTGTTTTATAACACCTGTGCTTCTACTTTTTAGTTTTGTAAATATACATCTGATTTTATATTCTGAGTAGGTGTATACGGACATGTGAAATGACTCGAAAATTCAAATTAAATGAGAAGTTGAATAAATAAAACAGAGTGAAATCAGTTAGCAACAGCAACCAGTGATTGAATAATAAATACAGTAAAATTTGGTCTTTTTACTTCAATCACTTAAAGGTACATCATAGAAATCAATTTAACACCTTAATCCGTAGCAGGTTGGAGTATGGCAGCATGATCTGGAATCCTATTTACACTTGCCATCAACGCCATCTTGAGGCTATTCAGAGAAGGTTCTTGAAGTTATTAGTTTCGAGGGAGGATAAAGTTTATCCACAGACAGGAGTCAATCATGACGAATTGTTGAGTCGATTTAGTTTAATCTCATTGCAGAGCAGGAGAGAAACTTTATCACTCAAATTTTTTTACAAATTTCTGCACAATAGTATTGATTGTCCTCCCCTTTTGTAGGCTTTGAAATTTCGTGTTCCTAGGCTTAATTCTCCTAATACAGAATTATTACACTTAGAGACTCGCAGGACTAACTCCATAATACAATCCCACATTTGGTTTATGGAGTCTACATTCAATAGAGTTGGCAATAATTGTGACATTTAATTTGACTCCATAGAATTCATTATCAGGAGTTATGTGAACAAAGAAAATTGACTAAAATGAATCGATTTAGATAATTGACTAAAAACTATCGTTAAGTAAAAGAAGAAACTTACGTTGAAAACCTACACATTTTTTTTTTATATAACAGCCGTTTACATATGTTTCAAGGTTATTGCCTATCGTCAGAACGGCGTAGTTCAAGTTAAAGATGAAAGTACTTGAAGAGATATATAAAAAATTTATATATAAAACACGAAACACAGTTTCGTACACGTTTTATACACCCAAAACATTTGGGAAGAGTCAACACAACGTTGCAGACGACAATGAAATACCGTCCGGCTATTATGAGACTTTTATAGTTTCTGGAACTACCCAGATAATCTTAACAATAAAATAATTATTCTAAGAATTATATTCAATGCAGGCAAACTAAAATTAAGTAAAAGAAGAAACTCACGTTGAAAACCTACACATTTTTTTTTTTTATATAACAGCCGTTTACATATGTTTCAAGGTTATTGCCTATCGTCAGAACGGCGTAGTTCAAGTTAAAGATGAAAGTACTTGAAGAGATATATAAAAAATTAATATATAAAACACGAAACACAGTTTCGTACACGTTTTATACACCCAAAACATTTGGGAAGAGTCAACACAACGTTGCAGACGACAATGAAATACCGTCCGGCTATTATGAGACTTTTATAGTTTCTGGAACTACCCAGATAATCTTAACAATAAAATAATTATTCTTAGAATTATATTCAATGCAGGCAAACTAAAATTAAGTAAAAGAAGAAACTTACGTTGAAAACCTACACATTTTTTTTTTATATAACAGCCGTTTACATATGTTTCAAGGTTATTGCCTATCGTCAGAACGGCGTAGTTCAAGTTAAAGATGAAAGTACTTGAAGAGATATATAAAAAATTAATATATAAAACACGAAACACAGTTTCGTACACGTTTTATACACCCAAATTGTCGTCTGCAACGTTGTGTTGACTCTTCCCAAATGTTTTGGGTGTATAAAACGTGTACGAAACTGTGTTTCGTGTTTTATATATAAATTTTTTATATATCTCTTCAAGTACTTTCATCTTTAACTTGAACTACGCCGTTCTGACGATAGGCAATAACCTTGAAACATATGTAAACGGCTGTTATATAAAAAAAAAATGTGTAGGTTTTCAACGTAAGTTTCTTCTTTTACTTACTTTTAGTTTGCCTGCATTGAATATAATTCTTAGAATAATTATTTTATTGTTAAAAACTATCGATTTAAGAGACTAAAATGAATCGATAGAATCGATTATTCAGTTATGTATTAAACATTGTTATTATTTTCTGTAATTGGGTGTTATACCTGTTGAGAATAAAGAACTTATTCTAATTATTATTTTAAAAAAAATCAAATATGAATCAAAATGTTGAATATAAATAAAATGTATCCTTTTTAGTTCTATTGATTGATATGTTTGTTAGGTAGATATTGGTTCCAGACCGAATTTATAATACCTATTTATGTATTATTTGATATTCTATTTTCCAAAGAAGATTGACATCTCGTATAAACATTGGGAATATGTCACTGAGTCATTGTTCCCAGTCTGGTTGGTTGAACGTTTTGAAGATATCAAGGCATAAGAAGTAAAGCTGCCACTCATTTTTCCCCCATCTGCGATTGTTTCAAGAATCCTCTTTGTGGAATCCCCACTGAACCCGGTAAGTATATGGTTAGGTAGGAAGCTCAAGAATAAGCCGGATGCTATTGGTGTACGCGTGCCGATAGACAATACCACTTCGCGCAATGTTGCCGCATTTAAATCCATGCACAGAAGTCACGGAAATTGGTGAAATGGAATATTGCGATATATATATATATATATATATATATATATATATATATATAAATATATATATTTTCAGAAAGAAATTATTGGGTTTTCTGGTTCTCAAAAATATTTATTAAACATCTATATCACATAACGTTTCGGTCCTTTTCTTGGACCTTTTTCAAATGAAATTTCATCAATATATTGTCATCAACTAAAAAAAAAGAAAATGACAGGCATGTAAACAACATTACACGATCCAAAACTTACCACACAAACAATCACAATATTAATTATTATATTATGAACCAATATTCAAATGAAGGAAGATTTTCAAATTTGTTATATTTCTATATATATTTATCTTGATTTACACACGATGCGTTGTTGTTCACGTTCAGGCAAAGACTAATATCCGTCTATCTTAATTACCTCGGTTTCTTCGGTGTCACTACGCGCACAGAATGTTATTGTAGATTTTACTAAGACCTTTTATATCTACCTTGTCATTAATGGCATCCGGGTTTTTTTTTATATACATGATTTCATGACAAGGTAGATATAAAAGGTCTTAGTAAAATCTACAATAACATTCTGTGCGCGTAGTGACACCGAAGAAACCGAGGTAATTAAGACGGATATTAGTCTTTGCCTGAACGTGAACAACAACGCATCGTGTGTAAATCAAGATAAATATATATAGAAATATAACAAATTTGAAAACCTTTCTTCATTTGAATATTGGTTCATAATATAATAATTAATATTGTGATTGTTTGTGTGGTAAGTTTTGGATCGTGTAATGTTGTTTACATGCCTGTCATTTTCTCTTTTTTTAGTTGATGACAATATATTGATAAAATTTCATTTGAAAAAAGGCCCAAGAAAAGGACCGAAACGTTATGTGATATAGATGTTTAATAAATATTTTTGAGAACCAGAAAACCCAATAATTTCTTTCTGAAAATATAAATAAAATGGTTCAAGATAGCAATGAATATGAATATATATATATATATATATATATATATATATATATATATATATATATATATATATATATATATATATATGTATATACATGTATATTTTAAATTGTTTTATTGCCTGTTCAAGATATTTTATTTTGAATATTTTCAGCAATAACAGGCTTCTTTTTATATGAAAAACTTTATTTTTGTTGACGTTTCATTTTATATCACAGCTTTGTCAAAACTAATTAGTTTTGACACCGAGAGAGTTGAACCGAGGTAAATCGTAGCAATTTTGCAGTGTCGAAAGTTTTTCTTTCGACGTAAGTTTTCAATGGTGCCAATTTTTATCCTTGCGTTCGCGTGAAAACGCTTGTAAAGGAATCATTTTCGTGCCATAATTTCATGTTTGACCACTGGTTACTCAGATTATCGTCACG